CTCTCTCTCTCCTCTCTCACTCTCTCTTTAAAAAAAAAAAAATCCTTAGTGTATGAAGCAATGAGAACTTCCTATTACTCACAATGCTACTCCGGAGCAGAACAGCATCTACCTTTACAGCTGATTTTTGTATGCTTTACTCTTCTTCCATCACAGTGGCAAGACGCAGAGAGAGCACAGCTGGCTTAAATGAGGCTGGGTTTGTGAACCCTGTCACCAAACAGCCTCCTCAGTGGCAGGAGCTGCCTCCTGGTCCCTGCAATGAATGAGGGTCAGTAGCATGCTACGGAGGACAGGAGGTGGGGTAAGCACAAGCAGCCCTGTGAGGCCAGTCTTCTGGCAGGGCAGGATCTCCGGGTAAACATCAAGCCTAAACTGCAGAGGAAAATGTGTCCTGCGTGGACACAAACAGTAGACTCAAAATAAGTTACATCAGTTACAGAAACCTGATCTCAATTTTGAGCCAAATAACTTAAACAAACATAAAACTTCTAGTACACAAAAGGATTCCCTTTCAATATTTTAAAACATCTATCCTGAACTCTGCATTGTTTCTGAAATAATTTTTTTTTAGGTAACTGAACTTTAAACAGATAAAGGAAATCTTATTAACATATTTACAAACACACAAGGCCAAAGATAATCTCTTCTCCTATTAAGATATATATCATGGGGCTGGCAGAATAGCTCAGTGATAGAGTGCCTGCCTAGCATGTACAGGCCCCAGGTTTGATTCCCACTCCCCATAGATAGATACAATTAAATTACTGAATTGGTTGTTTAGTTACAAAGTTATAAGCAGATTACATGATAAATTTTTCTCCATGTTTTATTTGAATTTTAAAAATTTGTGAATTGGGGGTACTGCTAGGGATTGAAATGGAGAAAACCATGTTATATGAATATCAAAATTCATAAATGCACATAACACAGACCTCCTGTTTTGATAAGGTACTGGGGGTTGAACCCAGGGGCACTCTACCACTGAGCTATAACCCCAGTCCTCTTTAAACTTTTGAGACAGGGTCTCATTAAGTTGCTGAGGCTGTCCTTGAATTTACAATCCTCCTGCCTCAGTCTATCAAGCTGCCGGGATTATAGGCATGTGACACTATGACTGGCTAAACCTCACTATTATGTAAAAGTATAATACACTAAAAAATTTAAATATATCAAAAAATTGTGAATTACAATAAATACAACTACAACAGAAATATGCTAAGTTTTTACATCTATTTTTAAAGGACAAAGTTATTTGTTAGAAATAACAAAATAAAGCATTCAGCTCAAACATTTTGGGATAAAAAAAAATCAAATAAAATGTTTTACATCTCTATAATTTAATATTCCAAACAATATATAATAGAGTTGAGCCAGTCAATTGTCACATAGTATCACAAATATGCAGAAAGCAGAGAATTAACTGTGGTACATCTATGAAGCCTAAACTTTAGGATTAAACCTAAGACACCATGGCACAGCACCTCAGGGATGCATGGATCGTGAGTGAAAATGGTGTGCACTTACTCTTTACAGAAACATTTATAAAGCCAGGGACAGTGGCATGTGCCTGTAATTCCAGCAGCTTGGGAGGCCAAGGCAGGAAGATCACAAATTCAAAGCCAGCCTCAGCAACTTAGTGAAGCCCTAACAACTCAGTGAGAACCTGTCTCTAAATAAAATAAATAAATAAAAGGGCCATAGATGTGGCTCAGTGGTTAAGCACCCCTGGGTTCAGTCCCTGGTACCAAAAAAAAAAAAAAAAAACAACAACAACAACAAAAATCCCACCAAAATAAACAAACAAATAAATAAGCAAACTACAGCCACTAGAAAATACTGCAAAGTACTTGCTGTGTTCTAAGCATTTCCTAGGACTATGTATCTTTGTACTTTTTGATACACACTGCAGCCCTATGGGGCAGGTACTTTTACCCACATTTCAAAAATGAGCAATCCAAGGCACAGAAGCAAAACAGGCAGAACCATACGGTCAGAGCAGACCCAAGACTCAAACACTAGTGCCTGCTTCCAGAGCCTCTGCTCTGGGCCACTGCACTTAGCTGCTTAAACACATTAAAGAGGTGCCTAAACTTATTCATAAAAACATGAGATTCATAAATAAGAACACATTTTTACTTGTAGACTGGTAGATAAAGTCTGACTATAGCGTATCATTAGTGAAGAGCCGGGGAAAGGCTTTACTATGCATTTTTGAAAACCTCAGGTGAAAGGACTCACAGGTCTGTTTTCCTCTGTGGCCTCTGCTGCTCGCCACTCTGAGACTCCAGGACACTGCTGCCCACACTCCATGTGCTTGCTCCTGTTCATACTGACGGACTTTGGGTTACGCTCACACTGTTGCTGCTGCAGACAACACTACTGGGCATACTGCTGTACGCATCTTCCAGCACCACACCCTCACAGTCCATTTAAGAAATTGCCTACCTGAAGCTCATGGAGACTTGTTACCTTGCAGAAACTGACTGTTGCACATTTACCTTGAGATCTAAAGCCACATGAGACTGAGTTTTCTCTCCTGTGTATACTTTGAGGTAAAGGTCAAGATGTACTCTTTTCCCATAAGGAAATGTAATTGAACATATACCATTTATTGAAATGCCATTCTTCCTCCACCTCTTTACAGTGTCACCTCTGTCACCAACCAAATGAACACACAGGTCCAAATGTGTTTCTGCTGTCTACTGACAGTCTGTGGACCATGGGTTCCAATAAGTGGAACCTAGCCCTGCCTTCCTAGACTGCAGAACCTGGGGCCCTTCACTTCTGAGTCCAGTGGGTCTTTCAGGTGGTCTGTGTGCACTGTGGAGGGCCGTGGTGGTGGTGTCTCCATCTCCCTCTGGGAGCCCACTGCTTCAAATCCTCTCCTGCCATCCCTGAGAGAGTCCCTTGCCCACAGGCTGGTGCAATGACCTAATCTCCACGCTCCAACATCTGGACCGCTGTGGGGCTTGCTCCAGGACTCTCCCTCCAGGCCCAACACATCTGGGATGCTCAGTGTGTCCTGTGTTCTATGCTTCTTAGACACACGGAAAAATTCATTTCTGTTCCTAGTATTTTATTTAATGAACACATTGACTGCTTCACTTTGCAGAATGAACATCTGCAAACATCATTATATATAAAATGATCAATCAATTTTTGGTTCTGTGTAAGCTTCTCAAATCCTGTACTTCAATTCTAGTCACACGTTCATATGTAGGGGGCCCCTCGTGTGCATGAACAAAGATCCACCCCCAAGGCTAAACTCCAATCTGCAGCTCCTTCTCTTCTATCACAGTCATACAAAGTTGTTGGGTTCATTTTAACAGAATGTCCCCGTTTCCCTCTTTTTTCCTCTCCTCCTTCCTCCCCTATTCTCCTGCCTCTACTCATCTCCCTTTGCTCATTTATTTGTTCATTTCTGACAGGTTCTTTCTACTTCTACATGAAGGTGAAATTCCCTGTGGCACCTTTATGCATGTAACTAACATGATCTTGCTAAAATGATTCTGCAGTGCCCCTCCCCTCTCTCTTGATCTCCTCCATCTGTGCACTGATCATCCCTGAATCTTCCATTTTTTTCCTCTAGTACCAGCTTCTTTAGGATGGTGGTTTCTTTGACAAATGCTGAACTGGCTCATAAAGTTTGTGGTAGGTGTAAACAGCAAGACCTGTGATGTTTACAGAACGAGGCCACTCTGCTCAGGAACAGGGTCAACTGAGGATGCAGTGCTCCTGTGCCACCGAGGACTCCTCCATTTCATGTGAAATACTAAAACTTAAGAAGGCCTGATCTTTTGTTTGTTTGTTTGTTTTAAA